AATCCTCCATACAACCTTTAACTGCTGCCCATGGACCTGAAAAGTTTATATAGAAGTTTATTATTATTAAGTTGATACATTTTGTATCAATTTAGTACAAAGCTCTGAGCTGCAAGCAAAAAAAGAATCCAGCAAATCATTTGAGCAAGTTCAAATTCTAAATATATATTTTTTTCCTTTAAATTGAAAAATAAATAAAATTTAAAAAAAATGTATAAGTTGACATCGTAGCTGACAAGTAAGTCAGGACATGGTACTCCTTCTAGTATGGTTGGGAGTAGGGACCATTCAGTCTTCTGTTTGTGGCTGAGCTAAGACAAGATAACTCATGAGCCCATAACACAATTTAGTTTTGTAACAAGATTGCTATTTGGTCGTTTATTTTTTTTGTTGAAAATGGAGGACAAATTACGCTATTATTATCATTGCTATTTTCTTTTGCTGCTCTGGGCTTCCATAATTTAGAGCGATCATGTAGAGAATGCTGTTTTTATTAATTATTTTCTTAATTTAAAAAAAAATGTCAAGGTGATTTGTTTGTAGACTCTCATTTGACCCCAAGAGCTTGTCCCACAGAATGTCCTTTTCCATGTCACAGAGAAGTGTTCAGGCAAATCCATCATGTCAATGCTTGTCAAACACCAAGAAAAAACAATTATAGGCTCCCACGTACAGGTCGTGATGCTCCAGTAGTCAATAAAGACACCACTATGTACGTGTGTGTGCCGGTGTGTGTGTGTGAGGACAGTTCATTAGAAACCACTAGAGAAGTCCATTGTATTGGAGGAGAGACAATCATATGACCTTCAGTATATGAGGTTGAGGACTCATGGGAGCAAAATAAGAATGTAAGCTCATATGAAAACAGCCACCGAGCAAAGTTTGGTCAAATGTAATTATGAAGCAATTAAAGAACGGTGTAAACAAAATGACAGAGACAGATGACCACAGCAAGAGAATCCTTCAAAAGCTCTTCACAGCAGTATAATTTTGTACTTTGTGATCTTATACATTTTACATAACAATTAGTAGGCCTACACTGCAAAAACATATGACTGGTAAGCATATAAGTAAGTCAATGAGGAAGAGTAGTCTTACATCACGACCAGAACAATTGACTGCTGCATTTTTTTTTTTTTACTTTTATTTTTTATCAGCTCTGAAAAAAGTAATATCTAGTGCCTAATTTAAGAACATTTTACTTTATTTGAATATATTCAACTTGCCAAGTAAAATTATCTGCCAATTGAACAAGTTTTAATTCAAGCAACACAAGATTTTGTTTGTCATTTTAAGTGCAAAGATCTGTTGTTTTTCTTATCCTCAGTGTAATAAGATGAATTTTCTTGTTTCAAGTACAAAAAGTCTTGTTCCAGTGGTATATCATTTTACTAGTCAAGTGAAATTTATTCAGATCAAGATAACATTTTATTGATTCAAGCAGTTTTAAATGATCTAGATTGTACTTCTTGCAGTGAGATAATTAAAACAAATCAAATCAAATGACCCCAAAAGGTAGGCACATTATCTCAGGACAAATATATAAGTAACATTATACTATTCTAACATAATATACTCCATTATTTAAGTGCAACTCCACCTGTGACTCAGACCCTATATACAAAGTCTTCACAGTTAGATATCGATATTTGTGATATACTTCACTAACACTACTTGGCATGGCATTGATTAGCGGTAGTAGATCTTTAGCTTAAGGCACTGCTGGGAGGTCCATTCAAAGACAATTAAAAGAGCCACGGTACTGTTTGGAAGTTAAAGATGCACTCTGTAACTTTCCTGGTAGAGGGTACGCCACCTGCTTCTTCATGGAAATGTTTTTGCGTTACCATGACTATGACGATATACTTACATTGATCCAATTAATGGTGTTTTCATTGCTCAAAATACATATAACATACCTGTAATTGGGCCTGGAGACATTGTCATGGAGACAGATTGAATTAATGCTGTTGGAACATTCTCAGCAAAGCAAGTGAGACTTTGTAGCTGATGTCCTCAGCATTCACAGGGGTGTGATGCTAACTGGAGTTTCTGCTCTGTCTGAGGCTTTATTAGACTTCAATCAACAACTCACTTTTATGTAACACGTAATACTCCCTACAACTATACAACAACTCACCCTTTTGTAACACGTAATACTCCCTACAACTGTACAACAACTCACCCTTTTTGTAACAGATAACCAGTCAATGTCCCCTTAATCATTATATCATTGTTGCACTGTCTTCTATGACCTCTTGTATATAGCTGACATTTTAGTTGGACTTGTACATACATTTACTCTTTGTTATTATGTTATATTGTGATGTGTGAGCTGCTGTGTCCAAATAATTTCCTTTGTGGATCAATAAAGTTTGTAATAAGTCTAATCTGAGCATCATTTTACCACAATCTCATCAGAAAGAGCTGACATAGTTGGAGCTACAACACGTGAGCTGATCAGTGCTCTTAAAGAAGTCTCCCACACAAAAAATACAGTCACAACTGCAAGCATTAGCCAACAGTTTTCAGTCACTCTCATCTTTTTTGCACCTACATCTAAACAGGACCATGAAAGCTTGTATTGATCACAGGCTCCTGAAAATGTGTTGGTTAAATCCACTTTGTATTTTTCCCTGAATATTAAAACTTTTTTAATAGTGTTTGCTAATGTGTGCACTGTGTCACCATGGTAACTCCTAAATATTCCACCATTAGAGATACATGCAGAACACCCCCCAACTGCAAACTATGAATAATCTCTCCATGGAGACAAGCAGGTGGCAGATCCTCCACCAAATGTTACATAGTGCACCTTTAAAAGAGCCTGTATTCTGCTTCTGTATTCTGGCAGATATACAAGCGAACGCCTCAAGGTTACTGTAGATGTTAGGGGTTGAGCAAAAAACAAATTGCGATCTGAGTTGATGGACTACGGAGAATTGTTGAATCACTGATTTGCACATTGCAGCTCTGAGGCACTGTGGCATTTATCAGGCTAACCTTCTGTTCTGTGAAGCTAAATTAAAGCACTATTTCAAACCTGTAAGGCAGAAAAATTGGATGGAGACAATGAAAAAACATTTACACTGCAAAAAAAGGGATTATTTTACTTAAAATCACCTGAATTCAGAATATTTCAGTCATCTGTACTATTTAAGATTTGTTAGTTAGTGAATGTAGATTTTTGCACTTGTTTCGAAATGTTTTTTATAATCTCAGGAAAGATTATCTGTCTGTGTGGAGTAAGACAATGTTAATAAAATGGTCAGTATCACAGAGACAATTTTAGATGAAACAAGAACAAATATATTTAACCTTTCACTCTAAAAAACTGAAGACTAAATAAATACATCTACAATAGTCCAAATTAACTTTCTGAACTCAAGTGATTTGAATGGGCCAGTATTACAGTATTTTCTGATTTATATTACAATGGTGTTTTTTCATCAAACAATCAAAAGGTCCTATATTCTGTTATAATGTTATTACCTCCTCAAAAACATACGTGGAGTTCACACAAAAACCTACAAATTTAGGCTAAGTTCCACCTTGTGATGTCATGTGATAATACTGGAAGTTCTCCATTGTGTTTTATTATGTTTTTAAACTCTATACATCTTCATTAAAATCATTTAGATAATTTCAGCCCTGGAATTGCCAATGAACAAAAGTTTAAAGGTAGCTGTTAACTTGAAAATTACCTCTTCATCACATGGTGGAACAGAGCATTTTGAGCTTTGGAGATGCAGACAGACTAATAATAAATGAATGTGAATGAATGAAATAAAACATAACTCCACATACTGTATGCTTTTGAGAAAGTAAAAACATTATAACATAGCTTAAAGTTCACAAGAATCAATGTTGTGTAATATAAGACCTTTAACTAAAAGTATTACAGTGTATTATAGGTATGTATCCTGGATTATGAGTTTCATCAGTGCTCCAGAGTCACACTTGCTTCATGGGGGGTGCAGCTGGTTAGGAAAGAGGACTCAATACCGGGCTAATGTTCAACAGTAAATTATCTTTATAGTTTGAAAGTGTGACAGAGCAGCACGGTTGTACTGGTCTCAGCAGAGTAGAGCAGATGTAATATTGATGAAAATGCTCCACTGTAAATGATTTCCTTGTGCAGTAGGAGGCGAGCGGCAGACGAACACATGCACCAGGAGTGTCTGCTCACTCCATCTCACTTTTACTCCATTTTTTAATCACACTGATGAGATACACTGAAGTCCAATGTTCCATTTAGCACTGCAGTCCAATCTTACACTGCCTGTATATTTAAAGTGGGCATTCATATTTAATTGAGAACTAAATACACACTATGATGACAGATACTGTATACAAACTAAGATTACACTTCATCTAATTATCTGGGGTTTTAGTATGTACAAAACTCAATCATTCATACAGTTAGATGACAACTCAATGTCTTGCGCAAATCTTTTTACTTGAATTATGTGACTTGGTTTCCCATCTTTTAGCTGTGCAGTACAGGCAGTGATGAGTAATCCTCTGGGAGTAAAGTTAAAGCACCATTAATTAAACTCAGAAGAAAGCTCTATCTACACTAGCTTCCTCCTAAACTTCTGCAGCAACTTTCAGAGCAGTAAACATGGGGCCCTGAGAGAGAGCTTGGGGGTATGTACAGTACCCCTTTAAACATTATCTGAAAAGATCTGACTAATTAAGAGCCAATGCGAACTGTCTTTGAGTGTATTTTAGAGAAGAGGGACTTGTCCAAACTTAAAAAAAAAATGTGTGCAAAGATTTATACATTATAGTGAAATATGAACAACGGTACACAATTGTCTTTTTGTTTACGTTGCCTGAAGCTGAAACTCCATAGAGATTGAGGGCAGCACAAACATGAACTAGCACCATCTGCATTAAACAGAATATTTTACATCTCACTTTAGTTTACACTCTCATATGGGGGAAACTAAATAATTGTCTAATATGCATGCAAGACAAGTGTCACGACAGTAACATTTCATTTTCAAGCTTAAAATAGAATCATTTATTTTCTTTTAAATGGATGTCTTTATGTTTGCTCAAAAGAAGTATAAAATCACTTCAAATGAGGCCAATAAAATGAACTATCACAGTCTATACTCCCAAAGTCATAGTGCAAATGAGCCAAAAGAGACCCCTTATTGTACAACTACAGCGACATCATTAGAATAAACAGCATTTGTATAACCTCTTCTAATATAAAACTTCCAGAGAGGGAAAAAGGGAAATGTACTTTAAAGTAAATAAACAAATACTGCAAAGTCATAAAATTCATCAGAAATTGACAATCTCAACTGAAAAATATTTTGTACCTTAAACATCTGAAATTATATTAAATTGTAATCTCATAGAGAACAAAATAAAAACAGTTTCAAAACGAAAGGGTCAACACTTTTGACAACAAAAGTGATTGTCTATAAGATTTGAATGGTGGTAATACAGTACGTTTGTTGGATACATTCATGTTTGAAAAAAGGTTACCCTGTCTGAACCTGAAAAACAGTACCAGTAAACATCTTCAGAGCTGACTGTCAGCCAGTGCCTCCACAGGAGTGTTTAATAGATAATATAATGGGCCCCAAAATGGCCTGTACACACTAATTGTACACTGTATATATCTGATCTGATCCTGTCATCTCCTGTGGGGGACCTCCGGTTGAAGTGATAGAATACTTTGTTTCAGCCTCTTGGTGAACAGGTGACTGCTGCGCCCACAGTACGTGTGTGTGGTGGAGGTTAGAGAAGCTTCAAGTGGCTCCAACAGGGACTTGTCTAAATCTTCACCAAACTGGTACTGTGAAAGGAACATTTAGGCTTTAGTTTATCTATAAATGTACATAAGATGAACAGAACAGAACAAAGATGAAACTTATACAGGACCATACACAAGTAAAATGGACAACCTAAGTTTTTCTTGTACTTATTGTACCTTGCTATGGGAATGGTGGATACATCTCCAGCTGTACTGTCTCAATCTTTTACAACTGTAAAAAATGATTCAGTTCTTTATAGCTTCTAATTTGACCAGGTCTACTAGTCTTTGAACTAGTCCACTTCCTTTAATATCCTTCATATAGTGCAGCAGGCCATAAAACACTATTAACAGCTTCCTATTGATTTTATGTGGATGCTGCTTGTACGCCACACACATGGCCATCATGATGTCTCAAACTAACACTAAAATGTTAGTACTCTTGTGGGCTGGACTGGATAATAGCACTGCCCTTTAGTGTACTGTATACTTCATGCTGGACTGCTGTCTTGTTTGGGGATTGAACTGTCTATGAGAATCTTAAGGGGTGTTGTTCGAGACTGAATGTTTCATGTAATAAAATAATATATCATGGCCTATGGCCAATACAAGCAAATGTGTTAACAGGACCTGTCACAATAACAAATTTTGAAGAGCGAGATACTATTGCTGAAGTCAATATAGACGATAAAAATATTCAAAACATACATAAATTTTGAATACTGTTGAGCTGCATCATAAATAGTAGAATGCAACAATTAGTCTGTGTAATTTTAGTTCATAACTCGACCTTATACAGCTCAAATTATCATATACTGCAGAAAAAATAACCAAAACTTTCCAACTAGTACAAAGAAAAAGTAACAGCTCTAGTGTTGACAAATGAGTCACTCCCACCATAATGACTGCTATTGCTGCAAATACTGAGCCTATTAATATTTAACCTGTATTTAGTAAGAAAGCTGGGTTCATCAATATCTGATTCACACAGATACGAACACAATCTATAGACAATTCAAAAGCAAGCAAAAAAAAAAAAAAAATCATTACTGTATGTGCTAAATGTCCAGCTTCTGCATTGGAGCCAGAGCACCTGCTAAAACCCAGGTGCAGTGTGCTGGGTGCATGTCTTCCTGCCTGAGAGACTGATGGAGGCATGAGGGCCCAGTGCCCCTTAATGAAAGCAGCTCGTTTAGCTAATGGCTGGGAACATGGGCCGCTCTGATAGTGGCTCTGCTCTGGCCCTGTGGTTGTAATGGATGGACACTGGCTAATGAAGCTTCCCCTGCTTCACCAGTCTGGGGCTGTAGTGTTGACCGCTGTGCTGGAATCAACACAAGAGATTGAACACAGGCACAGCTCCTCACTGTTCACTGCCTCACTGATAGCTTAAAGGCACTGAACAATAAAAGCTACTTTACTCATTCCAAGTAACTGGGCATATAAGTCTTATTAGTTTTGTTAATACATTTTAAAATTGTATTAAATTGATTTTATTGGTCTGAGAGGCCGAAGAAATGGAAGTGACTGATAACTGATTTGAAGCAATGGACAGTGGACATAGCTAAAATCCACTGGTCTGAGATGATTATTGATGAAACAATAACACTGCGTGCAACATGCCTGGTCCATTTACTGAAAACCTGTCCAAGTCTCAGTCAAAGGGTACCATGTGTAAAACTAAAGAAATGAGAGTTGAAAATAATAACTATATTACTGCTATACCTTTTGGATGGCGTTATAAACCACTCGGAAAGCTGGCTGCTTGTCATCATGGAAAACTCCCCTGTTTCCATGGAGAATGAAGACACCTTGTTGGTCGGCCGTGTGACAGTTGCTTCCATAAATACAGTGGTCTGGACGGTAGTTCCACTCACATGGGAACACAAACAAGCTTTCTGTAAAGTCAGAAGTAAAGATTATGTAAAATTATACAATATATTTCAAGCTCATTGCTCAAAATCTATCTGTAGGTATGTATTTGTGATTTTGTTTTTAAATGTAAAATATTCATGTATTTGTCAGTTTTATAAAGTTGGTTTTCTTTTAAGGAGTACAACTGGAACTATTTATCAACACTGTTATTAGCAATCTATCTACCAGTGATTAACTATTAAATGTACTTTATCTCATCTACAACTTGAAGACATCTTTTTAACATGTGCATATGTGTTAATGTATGTGTGCCAGTGATTTCTATAAAGGAGAAGAATAGTTTTTGATTTGCAGAAGTAAAAAAACTCAAACCTGGATTATGATGAAATATGATATTAAGAAGGTCCTGATCTCCCCAGGTGATATTGAGTTTATACTTTTGAAGGAGAGGCATGAGCATTTCTTCCCATCTTAAAGGAACAGTTGTCATATCATTCTATGGGAAAGCAAAAGAAGAATAAGTTTTAGAATCTTAGTGCAAATACAAATTTTCCAACATTACGCCTCTAGTCTTGCTATGTAATTCTAATGCAATGCTTCCATCTACTGGTGATCATTATTATAGATTTAAAGGTGCACAGTGTAACTGGTTTGATGGAGGGGTCCATATCCTGCTTGTCTTGTCTATATGGAGATGTGCCTAGAATGTTCCACAGTATGGCCATAAACTTAAGAATCTCCATGGAGACTTGCAAACCAAATTGCAGGTTAGATTTGTGGAGAGGCGACCGTACTAACAGTAAAAATTGTATATTATATTATATATATATATATATAAAAATAAAATAAAAAAAATATATATGTGTGTGTGTGTGTGTGTATATATATATATATATATATATATATATATATATATATATATATATATATATATATATATATATATATACACACACACAATATATATATATATATATATATATATATTTTTTAAATATATTTATATATATATATATATTTTTTTGAGCAATAAACAACACCTGTAGTTGAATAAATGGAATACAGCTAATCGGTTTTGAATTTATTCAACTAGAGGTGTTATTTAATGCCATACTGTGGACAAATTAAAACAAGGCAGTAACATATCCATGGGGACAAACAGGTTGCAGACCCTCTCCAGAAAAGTTACACAGTATACCTTTATAAGCAGCCACTGTAGACTACTTTGTTTTCACCTTGAAATATTTGGCCCTGATACGTGTCATGTTCATTAACATGACCCCTGAGTTGATGCCAGTCCTGCCGTAGTAAGGGTGACGAGCAAAGCGGTTGTACCAGCCGATCCGTGGCTCCTCGTGCTCTGGAGCCATAGCCGCTAACTGACTTGAGTTAAAATGAGATAGCAGAGTCCACAGATCCTCCACTGGCTGAAGGAATAGGATATCTGTGTCTACATAGAGCAAAGAGTCCACGTCCTGCAGAATCAGCTGTACATGCAAATGGATATGTTAACAGTAAGTATAAAACAGAACAGGCTAGACAGAGGAATGTTTGGACTTACTGGGAGGAAGAGTCTTTGAGATGCACATGGTTTGAAGAGCCTTTTCCACTCCTTTTCATTGTCGTTTGGAAAAGTGATGGGAAAGATGGTGAAGTTAAACTTTTTCATAACCATATGTGGCCATGAGTTCAGCTTTAAAACAATAAGATCAATAAAAAACAACACATAGTAAGAATATTTGTTTATAATACATTACATGCGATCAAATGCATTGTACTTACAGCATTTTTGAAGCTGCTTTGCAATGTACTTTCTGCAAATATATAAAAATGCAAAGGCTTTTGGCTGAAGAGAAGAGCAGACTTTAACATGGTGAGAGTTTCCTCAAGCCTGGGACCACAGGCCACCACAGCCAGGTGACTTCGCTCATCAGGAGCTTCCTTAGCCAATCCATCTCTACAAAAACAAACAGAAGAGAAAAAAAGAAACAAAGACAAAATGATGGTTTTAGAAATAGACACTAAAGAATTTGGGCTGGGGTAATTCAAGAATAACCTGATCTTCTACTTCTACTCTGAGAAATAGGTGACTGTGGTGCATTACATGAGTCTAGCTAATCTTCAAAACATTATGTAGTCATTATGTAGGCATAAGGCACAGTGGTTGTATTCATTCAGAACAATGTAATAAAATTGTCCTTTGGGAACACAATCTATCGAATCTGATGTACATTCTTTAACAAAGATGCACAAAATCAGTCATACCCTTCAGATGTTTCCATTAAGCAGTTCACTCCACACACATCTGCAGGCATTCTCCAATATGGACTCCAGTAAGATACTGACTTACACCTGACAGGATGAGAACAGCAACTTTCCTGAATTAACCAGTCATTAAACTGCATTGTGCAAAACTGGTTAGTTGGAAAGCAAGACTAGTAGACATATTTCTATGTGGGGGGTTGTGGATTATACTGAGAATTATGTTAGTCCTGGCATTTAAACAAATGAAAATGAATTGCACAAAGTTGTTTAATTATTTTAATATATTTTAATTCACGAGACATTTCGATGAAGTAAAATACACGTGTTATTAATCTATGGTTGTTATGCAATCTACTATAACTACTTCATTGAGTTAGATGAATATAGGTATAGTGACTGACTGATAAATTCGCATACCTATGCAGTGCTCCGTGTTGGCCTCCAGAACCGCGCGTTTTCCTGAGAGGCAGTCCGCTATCATGGCTTCTGTGGACGGCTTTACCCTGCTCTCTCCATCGGTCTCTGTCCTCCAATGTGGAGGCTAACTGGCTGAGGACGTACACTAGTGAAAAGATCGTTATGGCAATGCATATAAAGAATACATGACAAAAACATCGCATTTTGCATTTTACTCTGCTACTGTCGGTTTAGCTGCCCATTTCAGTGATAAAAAGTGCGCTCCAAGTTCTGACTGCTACTTGACCAAAGCGCAATGTTTACATCTTTTAGCCCCTCCTACTTCCTGGTTCGTGCAAATCTTAAGATGTTCACATTTTCTTCACCAAGGGCCACATCATGGATCTATGGGCCACATACTGAAAGACATGTAGGCTGGTTGTCTGTACAGTGGATGATTCAGATGGGTGCATTTCACAGTTTTGACAGAGCCGCCATGCCTAATGGGGTTTGTATCAGGTCTGTATCACAATGTCATGTGATTGAGGTTATGGAAAGTGTTGCTGTCTTTTTTATGGCAGCAACTAAAAGATGGTTATTTAGTGTAGTCACTGACTAACGGCTATTTATGAAGCCTAAAACTGTAAAATCTGTACGCCTTATTTTATTTACTTATTTATTTACAACATAAAACTTTTTTCCAATCATAATTAAATTCAATTCTACAAAAGCATTAGTTTGTGGTTCTTTGGAATAAATAAATGCAGCAATAAAAACAAAAAATATAACTTGCTAATGAAGGACATAACATAGGCTACATTCAAGTGCAAAAAAACAAACAAAGAAACAAAATAAAACAAAAACAAATTCTAGCAAATGTGTTTTTGCTACTTAATGCTCTATATGCATAACAGCTGTGTTTTTAACATATCATTGACTTAAACAGGCACATTATTCTTAACCCTGTAATAGCTGTAATGTCCATATGACTTGTCATCCTGAGAAGGAAATGGAAATGAAAGTTTTATACAGCCTTATTATTGACTCAGTAGTGAAACAGTTAGTGCATGTTGAACTTGCGTAGAATCCATTGCAGGCTGGCAGTCAGTGAGTGTCTTTGTTTCCTGAGGAGCTGTCTCTGTGCGGAGAGGAGTATTGAGAAGCTGCTGCCTCTGTGTGGTCAGAGCTTGAGCTGCTGGAGTTGGGCTGGTCCACTGAAGTGGCACTGGGCCTCACTTTCTCCTTAAAGTCTGTGATTATTACAGTCAACTTGCCAACGGTTACCTCTAGATGTTGGGCACTGCTCCTGTCAATGTTTTTTAATCTGGGTCTAGTAAGAAGAAAACATTATAAACACATCAGATGACGATGATGGTGATGATGGTGATGATGATTATTATTACTCTAATACCTTGTCTTTCTGAAGTGCTTCCTTTTCAGTGAAGGCTCTTTTTCACTTCTGTCTTTGTCAAACCTTCCTTTCTTGTCTTTTCTGTGATGTGTGGGTGGTGCAAAGTGCTGATTTACTTGAGGCCGTGGTTTCCTGTAAAAAATAAAATATCAAACGTCTCTGACTTATTACACTATGTCGGCCTAATTACCCTGTAATTACAGTACTATGCTAATGTAGGCTAATTACAGTTTTGTTTGAGTCATGAAAGCGCTTTTCTCATCACACTGCCTTTTTGAAGATTACCAAACTTGTTGACATTCTTAAAGTTGCCTGTATGTCCTGATCTTACCTCGTGGACGTGCCCTTCCTCACATCACACATGAGGCATTTAAACGCCTCTGCGCTGTTCCTGAACGTGCACACGCTGCAGTCCCAGTGGCCGAAGCCGTCATCAGTGCTGGCCTTTGGTTGTCGCTTTGGCCTTTAAAGAACATCAAATAAAACGTGTAGCATGGGCAGAGGGACACGAAATACGACTAATAATAAGCGAGCAGACAGTATTCATTAGTAGAAGCTTACTGTGGAGTTGCCTAACTTGGCCTGAGCAAACCACCTTGAACACACTCTTCACAGATTCATGCTTCACACACAAAAATCTGCATCTTTCCACTGTGTTAAAATATCAAGTAACAGCAGTCAACAGCAGCATTACCTCGTAGGACTTGTCTTATCTCCCATGACACGGACTTGATCGTAGTGTTTCAATTGTAGATAACTGAGGCGCTTTTCAAATAAAGACACGCGTGTAGGAAGTCCTGAAGACCAGAGGCCACGTGACCCGGTTAACCAATCGAGGAGCTACAAAAACCCACTTCAAACATGGGAAACGGGGTCTAAACCTGCTCCCAGGTGGGTTCAACCATCTTCTGCCACATCCCGTTGTAAATCAGTTTTGACGAGACTTAGATTTTACAGGAGGTCTGTGTGTTCAAAGTCCCTCTTTCTGACTGATAATCAAGATTGCTGTAAGTCAGACAGTCAATCAGACCCATGGTAGTCAGAACAGGTCAGAAGTAGTTCACCCAATATTGTATCCTTATATTATTGTTATTTTGTATTTTCACTTTTAGAGATTGAGTTTACAGCAAATATTCAACACCTTCGCCACAAGAGGGCAACATTTCTTTTTATTCGCCCTTTCACCGAAGTAGACCCCAAACAGGAAGTGTTTTCAGCAATGCTAAAAGCATCAGCGTGCTATTAATGTTTGCCTTTTTATCTGTAAATAAAGTAATGCCAATGGAAAAATCAGACTTTTCTGGAGCATTAAGAGAAAGTCCGACGGTACAGTGCGTGGTTTATTCTTTCTAAAGTGAGTATTGACGTAGTTTTTATTCAGGAATGCGAATTAGTGCTATGCTAATTTTGCTAACAACAAAACGCAAACTAAGTCATCGAAAAGGAATCTCATTAAATCTGACTGCTAATTTATGTATTGCATTTAGCTATACTCAGAAGAACCAGGGTGTTAACTTATTCTATGCTCTCTGTTTTTAGACTTGTTTTAGTAGAGGCGTCTGGAGCTGAACTGTCCTCAAATCAGTAAGTAATTGTAATTGTTGTAATTCCTCCTGCAGCATTAAACGTGGAGATGAGATGTCTGAGTTGCGACTTGTTTGAGTTGCATATACCACAACTACCACATATATAAAATTACATTTTAATAAATCATTTTCTCAGTAATCAAATTCTTTTTAAAACACATAGGTATTTTTAGTTTCATTTTTATTGAAAAAATAAAATATTGATTCTTTAAGTGATGATTCTTCTTCACACAGAAGATAAAGATCTTTAAAGTCCATGGGGAAACCAGCTTACATGACTCTTTCTGGCTGATATACAGTCCCTGACAAAAGTCTTGTCGCTTATCCATTTTGTAGAAACAATAGCTTATGACCTGACTTTAAATTAATCGATTGGTTTTAGAAATGTCTCATATGAAAGCTAAAACCCTCCCAAATTATGCTCAATATACTAAAATAAATTTGCTTCACTGAAGAAAGATTGTTCATTTAATGAACACAGAAAGGTCAGATTTTGGCAAGACAAAAGTCTTGTCGCCTTGTCATATGATGCACCCAATCCTAGATTACAGCCTCACCTGTGATCAGTTACTGATCAGTCAATTAGTGGGTGTGTATAAAAATAACCCCAGCACACCAGACCTTCACATCAACTGCAACTTGACCTCTGACAACATGCCTAAGATCCACTCTGAGACCAAAGTGTTAATTATCAAGAGGCTGAAGACCAGATCCACTGCTGAAGTGGCTGACACCTTCAATGTGTCTCAACGTCAAGTACAAAGAATAAGAAAAAGATCTGAAATGACTGGAGATGTTTTTGACAAGCCCAGGTCTGGCAGACCCCGCAGACAACTGCTCTGGAGGAACGTTTGTTGATTTGAAAATCCAAGGCCAGCCCCTTTTCCACTGCAGCAGAGCTCTACCAGGCCTGGTCACCTCAAGTCCCTGTGTCAACCAGAACAGTTTGTAGAATTCTGTCTCGAAATGGCCTCCATGTTCGAATCAGTGCACAGAAACCAGAACTAAACAAAAGGCAATTAAAAAAATGTGTGGAATTTGCCAAGGCCCACAGCCTGCTAAAACGGATGGACACTGGAAAAGTGGCAGAAGGTGGATTTCTCAGATGAATCCTCGGTTGAATTACATCACAGCCGCCGCAAATATTGCAGGAGACCTACTGGAGCCCGCATGGATCCAAGATTCAGAAAACAGTTAAGTTTGGTGGCGGATAAATCATGGTCTGGGGTTACATCCAGTATGGGGGTGTGCGAGACATTTGCATGGTGGAAGGCAATATCAATAGCCTAAAATATCAAGAAGTATTAGCTACCTCTTACATTCCCAACCATAAAACGGGTCAAATTTTGCAGCAGGATGGTGCTCCATCGCATACTTCTATCTCTACATCAAAGTTTCTCAAGGCGAAGAAGATCAAGGTGCTCCAGGAATGGCCAGCCCAGTCACCAGACATGAACATCATTGAGCATGTCTGGGGTAGAATGAAAGAGGAAGCATGGAAGGCAAAACCAAAGAATCTTGATGAACTCTGGGAGGCATGTAAGACTGCTTTCTTTGCTATTCCTGATGACTTCATCAGCAAATTGAATGAATCATTGTCGAACCGCATGGATGCAGTCCTTCAAGCTCATGGAAGTCATACAAGATATTAAATATGGATCTCACAGCACCACTACTTAATTCACTGACGTTATGCAACATCTTTTTGTATTTGAAGTAAATTATTTGTTCAGTTTTCTGTAGGTGACAAAACTTTTGTCTTGCCAAAATCTGACCTTTCTGTGTTCATTAAATGATCAATCTTTCTTCAGTGAAGCAAATTTATTTTGGTATATTGAACATAATTTGGGAGGGTTTTAGCTTTCATATGAGACATTTCTAAAACCAATCGATTCATTTAAAGTCAGGTTATAAGCTTTTTTCTCTACAAAATGGATAAGCGACAAGACTTTTTTCAGAGACTGTATGGGGCCCTCTGAATTGAGTTGTGAACTCACAAAAATGGCAATAATTCATCTTGTTGGCAACTTTACAAACTGGCTGCATAGCATAAATCTGCAGTTTTATTGCATGTTACTGGAGGTGGGAGATGCATTGAAATGAATGATAATATAATATATTGTTTGAGAGATATGCAAGATTTGAATAGTAAGTGTATAATTTATAATAGAAACATAATGATGTAGATATAACAGACATGTCTAGTGACATCTTTCAAAAAATGCCATAGTGATTTCTGCACTTTTGTCGTTGATGGTCCGTTCATGTTTTGTGAAATACTTGAACAATCAAGACATTTAAATTACATTTGACACATAGATGCATTGTTGAAATAGCGCCTGAATATTGTCATTTAGATAGTACATTTAAAAAAGTAATAAATTTTTTTGTCAGTATTACCCATTCACCACATGGTGAGGCATATCTTAAAGGCAAAAGTTCAGAAAAAAACAGCCAGAACTCTGAGGAAAGAGTGGATCATAAATTATAATGCACATGAATTGAAACAAAACATTGTGTTAGAATTGTGCTCTAATGACAATACTTGACTCTCATGTGAGCAAAGACTACCTCTTCTTTTGTCATTTGTTTTCTTACTATTTATTGAGTGAAAATGTTGATGTTCAATGGTTTTGTAGTGTTTCAGCGTGGTCGTAAAAATTTTAGAGAGGCGTATGATAACCACTTTATGAGCGGTCCGAGAAATGGCAGGGAGGTAAGGAAAAGACATGTTTGAACACAATCAGTGCATTCTTTTGTGTTTTCTTGGTGTCTAAAGCTCTGCTGTTTTGAAACAATCTTAGGTGACATTTCACAGAGTTGTTAATGTTGTTGAGAGAAGAAACCCTATGCAAATGATGGGAGGAGACTTTGACAGAAGAGGACTTGATGGGCCATTGTACAATGAGCCCATGCCCTACCAGGATCCTAGAGAATGTCAAGGCAGCAACAATTACCCACAAAATGACGCACAATTCTTTGAAAATGAAGACCACAGATTTGGAAATTTTCACAGAAATGCTCCTCCTCCTAGAAATGTAAGTGTCCCTTGACCTCATGAGGTAACAGAGTTTTACAAAAATTTTACATTTACTTTCTAATCCTTAGATTTTCAAGATGAATAATTGGAATGCTTTACTGTTTATAGGAAGGACACTACAATCACAACAGAGATGACCTCAGGCATCATTTAGACTCAAGGTACTTCTAGGTTCTATTTTATTGTTTTTAATCTTTTCTATTTGAACATTGTGGCCTGTATAGAACATTATTCCCCTTCACTTTAATTGGTGCAATGCTACAAATGTGCCACTAGATGGAGGTAGAATTACGGTACTTTTGTGGTTGAATTTGTTCGCTCATATGATGGTTGTGTCTTTCTGTATTATTACCTGTTATTGCTGTACATGTTACAGCAAAATATGTAATTTAAAATGTGTAAGGCTGCACAGTTAATTTGTTCTGCACTGAATGTCTATGAACTTTTAAACCACCTAATGGTTGCATTTCTGAGCCTAGTCCTGCCTCCTCTCCTGAATACTACCAGGCAAAAGACCAGGACAAAGGGCATCAGTGTCTACAGTCAGATGCTCACAGCATTGCTTACTCCAGCCAGACATGAACACCAGAGAGCAGTTAAGCAGCTGTTTGTGTTAACAGAGCTGCTAACAGAAGCCTTTTCTGACTATCTTTTTACAGGTTAGGTCTCTTTTAATTGCACATTTTCTACCTTTTTCATTGCAATTAACACAACAAAAATGTAATAAAATACATGCTTTTATTTATTAGGATTGAAGAAATTGGCAATTAAACAATGTAGCCTTCCTCCTTGTGTAGCCTTTTGATGTTTTAAAGACATCTAGTCAATGTTTGGCAAATGGCAGGCTGAGTCCTGGCTACTTCAAACAGGTCGTGAGTCGTAAAAGTTGTAGGCTTGTTAGACCTGCTCTGTTTGAGATGTGGCCGGAGTTCAGGCCGGGGTCATGACTACCAGGTGCCTCCAGCTCATTTATACCTCAGCCTGGACCTAAAGGATCCTTTGTAGGCAAACATTTACTGTGAACAAGGTAAACGCATAGGCCAAACAACAGGAGCCTGTTTGGGCATCTGCTTTCAGTAATGGTTAATATTAAAACTGTGTAACACTGGTGTTGTATCATTATGTTTCTGGTGTCGTTAGCACATCACCATTTCACCAAAAACTAACAATATTATATGTCTATAATTTTACCCCTTTTATAGAAACAATGGCAGAGGAGGGAATTTCTTCCGTAACAGAGGTCGAGATCCTGCAAGGTAAGCTTTTACACGTTTTAAACCAATTCGAAACTTAAGTAGATGTGATTGGAAGTACTACTAGTAAACACTTCAGGTTGCTCATGAATGTACATATTGATATTGATACATTGATACATGATATTTAAGTCTTTTGGTTTTAGAGAGGACATTGACTACCGACGTAGAGAGCAATTTACATTTGTTCGAGATCGCTCCCCTGTCAGACGAGGAAACCATTCTTCCAACTCTGCGTCAAGGCCCTCTGAGAAGAGCTCTAGTCAGCAAAAACGTAAGTGTAGTGTTGTGTGATATTAGCTGAATAGAGCTTGGTGCTCTGTTTATTTCACACTCAAATAGCTTACTCTTCATAGGCTACAGTCTTAAACTAAGAGCATATAAATTGCCACTGTTAAAGTGCTGTACTTGGTTTATTCATGTGAGAACAAGTCAAGTCTCCTCCACAGCAAAGCATCTGTTTCTGTGGCCATGTGTAATGTGTAGGGTCAAGGTGCGGCCGAGCATGTGAACATGTTAATTACTCACACAACACTCACTCAGAGGGCCTGGGAAAATTGATACTTTTGTTTTTATTAGGTACTTTTGCTTTGGAGTATTGTCCTGCTTTAACTTGGTACCTGGTTAACTCCAGCTTTAAAATGGTAATACCACTGATATGTATAGCAGCTGTGTTTTCAAATGGCCTTTGATACTCTAGGATTTTAGTTGTAGTGTGAAGTAATATACTCTGTACATTGTAGAATTGTTCCAATGCTGCATTGAAATCTTACCATTGCCACCTGGGATACCTGAACAAAGACGGGTTTGTGTTCTTACATATGAGACCGTCACGTCCTGTCACATTCATAAAATAGTTTAATAGATGGTGCCATTGTTTTGTAATTTGTTTAAAAATATCTTTTTTTTTTCCTTAGCAAAACCCACTGCCTCTGCAAGTCCACCTCATGGCAGCCCTGAAGAGGATCTTCCACAGACCCCGACAACCTCAAAGGTAAATCACAGAATGCTGCCTCCGTATTGTTATAGACATAAAAAAAAATTACATATGTATGTTAACGTCCTCGTAATCAAGCATGGAGTTTGATTGGACTAGGTATTATATTTTATTAACAAGCTCTGACCTTTTTTTGAAGACCAAAGTTGCCTCAATTTAAATCACTTTGAAATGAGAACTGGTTTCTAAACAGGGTGACCTCAGCTCTAACCTTCGACCTGTGGCCTTCCAGGAAAGCCCTCCTGCGTCTGTAGCCGAGCCAGAGGAGGAGGTGGAGGCTGCCAGCGTGGAGCCAGAGCCGACACCAGAGCAAGACTTAAAGGCCCGCCGGGTGGAGGCCATTAAGGCAAAAGCTTTGGAAATTGAGAAGGTAGTTAAAATTTGTTCCATAAGTATTTAAAGTCTTATGCATTAGCTATACTTTGATTTCATTACTTTCAACTGTCAGGGGAACTTAGCTAATGATAATCAATTAATATTTTTAGGAAATAACTATCCACAATTTTAGTAGGATTAGTTTTTCAAGCAAACATGGATTTTCCAACTCTGTTTGCTCTAAGCCTAATTATAATCTGTTCTTTGTGACCTACTTTATAAATAATCTTACAAAGTCTAGAATGAGGCGGCAGACTTGAGGTTGTGAGGCGTCTCCTCCTCGGGCTGAAAGGAGGTGCTCTTTTCCCTGATGTTGAAAGCTTCAGCACAGTGCTACTTATCTGTTGTGGTAAAGGGGGACACAAGTTTCCCTGCAGGTGCAGGCGGCCCACCCAGTGTGGTATGTCTATTGGAATTACACATCCTGCCTTCTACAATTTTTAACAAACCTTCTGATTTAATCCTTCTTCTACAGTGTGAGTACTGTAACATGTACCCAGGACTGAGGATATATATTGCACGCTTGCCCTTCATAAAGAAAAAACACAATACGGCTTTACACTCTACTCTAACCACTATTCATTATGTTGTGTTTAGTGTTGTATTGCTCCACATAAAATACCCTTCAGTAATTAGTTTGTGAACCCGTTTATCCTCTCAATCAGTGCAGTGAAACATATCCATTTCAACTATTATCCCTTACTCAGAGAGGCCCGGTTTGTAGCTTGAGTGATTAAAATAGCTTTTAATATCCTCTAATGTCTAACAGCGCTTAGGTCATTAGCCTACTTCCCTTATTATGCAGGACCCCTGGCTGGTACAGCGCCCATTTGAACAGAGACTCTAAACATGCTGGAACATCAGTATTCTACATACACATACATGTATATTGGATTTCCATGCTTCTTGACTTGCATATCATTTCCTGGAGACTGCTCCTAATCTAAACCATACTACTTGCCTAACCTTAACCTAAACCTTGATATTTATCCCAAATTAAACTTAACCATATTGTTGCTCTAATAATAAATGCATAAAAAACAAATTTTTGTCTCTACTATTGAGGTAGGTCCACATTAATATGAATTGAGTGTGTATACAGATTTTAGTTTACTTTCCTTTACCATCCTGGTATGGCCTATTTTTTTTATGCCTGTGGTCCTCTCGTGTGGCCCCTAAAGATCAGATTGTGGCTCCTGCAACCTTTTTCTCACAATATGCAGGGAGTGATTAGGTCAAATGTACACTTCCTGTTTGCTCAAGCATCAAGATGGCTACTTTCAAGCAGAAGAAAATAAGAGGTGCTTAAAATCACAATAGTATTTTCAGTACTATTGAAACAGTACTTTCAATACTTTACCTAAATGCATTTGTCTTAAATTATACAAATATACATCATTTGTGAATAATCCTTTAAGTCGAGTTCATAAGAAGGCCACAGTTGGCAGTAGGCAGTTGACTTCTAAATCTATTTTTAAAGCTCTTGACTGCCTTAAAGCCTTTTGAGTGAAAATGTGATCAGTGTCAACAAAGACTGTGTCATGGGAAAAGCTTAAGACAGTTTTGTTTTGAACGATGGTAAACATAATCAGCTCTGAAGGATTAGAGGCTAAACACTTGTCCAACTTCAACCACATGTTGTTATGCCTATATAGACAACATTTCTGACTTTTAAAAACAGAAAATAATAAAAACAGACTAATGAGTGAAAAAATGAATATTTAACCATTCAGTCATTCGTGTGGAGATGCTCACATGTGTCGTGACTCTCCTGCCTCCTCGCGGTTAGCCCTGAAGACTATGATTATGTGGGGCCTTGAATTAGCTTGACATGATTTGCCGACATTAAAGCCACAGCTCCCACAGTCTGGTACATTTCTGTCTCCCTTTTCAACCCTCAGATGTGCCCATCCACTATGCCTAGGTCTTATATTCAAAGTCTTCATTTTTCTGACATTTGATTGAATCATACAACTTGGTAAATGGTCACATTTTTTTATCGTGCTTTTCCACATTCAAGGTACTCAAAGTAATCTAGACCTAATGGCGTTTTAAAGAGTAAAGTAAATTTGGGACATTTCACCTAATATGATCTAGGATAATTCTCGATTCTTGTTAACCCATTTTGGTAGTTTAGGTACCAGCGACACATCCCTGTGAACCTTGGTGAACTTCACTTTACTTCTGGCTTGAGTTCTGCCACACATAGGCCACTTCTCTTCAGGTGATAAAGATTGGGTTGAGTTTGCACCTGGGACCCCAATAAAAAGTGAACAGCCGTTTTGTGTTGGCAGTAAAATGTGAGAAGGATGTGAGAGCTGGTTACATTGTGGTGTGAAAGAATGCCGCAGAACCACTAACTTACCCTGACACCTCACTTTGCTTTGTTTGAGCCCATGTGCACTGGAATAGGGCTTCCAGCACACAGCTGTTTTGGTGAATGTTAAAGATGATAACCAGTGCATATAGTTCACGGCTGTGTCGTTTCAAGGTCTGATAAATTAAGGTTGACTTTGCTCAAGTGTTGCTTTATCTTGTGAACGTCAGAGCATAAAATAATCAGTAATATAGCAAATGAGTGTAAAATGGTCTGACCTACGACTGAGTGGTCAGAAACTGAATTCAAATCCAAACCAGGTTGAACTGAATAACAATATGGTTTTGGTCACAAGACCCATAAATCTACATTATTCCAAGGTGACTTGTGTCTATAATAATCATCTATGAAACTCTAAAGATATGCACCTGGACAGTTGTTTAAATGTATGTGCAACTAGAAAACAATAAAAAAAACAAAAAAACAATTTTAAGAAATACATATTTAGTATCATACAGTGTCCAGGTAATTTCCCTTGTGGATCACTAAAGTTTGTCAGAAGTTATGTTAGTCCGGTGGCTCAGAAGATAAACATTTAGAATGTGTCTAGTTTAGATTTTGTTCATATAATATTTCTGAACATTGACCAACCTTTTTTGATCAACAGTTTTTGATGATAAAGAATACTATTGACATTCCTGGTGTCATTGTTTTCTACCCAGGATTACAGGCAGGACTGTGAGACATTCCGCACTGTGGTGAAGATGCTGGTGGACAAGGAGCCCAGTTTGGATTATCTGCTGCAGGCTCCACTGGAGAAGAACCTGGAGGAGATCAAAGAGCGCTGCCTGGACTCACTAAAACAGTTTATTAAAGAACTGGACGAAGCCATAGAGCAGCCCAGCAATATACTGACCAATACTGACCAACCCACAGAGGGCTAGGCCTGAAGGAGAGACTATTTGTGCTGTGTTTTTAAACTCTATATATGTTTTAACTAAATTCTCAAACTGTGTAAATCAAACTGTGAGAAAGAATGATTGTGTAATAGATTTCAAAGAACCATGACAGTGTTATAACTATGACTTACTGCTGCCTATGGAATGGTTTAAAATCAGTTCATCCATGTACTTATTTTTGTGTAAAAATACATTATTGGTGTTGATGACTGGTGCGCCATTTGATGTTTACAAATGTATTGTAGTTTGATATATACAGTATATAGAATTTTTATTACAAGTATCAGTCTTTATATTCCAGTTTTTACATTTATACAGATTACATTGCTTTGCTTATTATACATTGTGGCCCATAAATAAACCATTCAAGCCCTCCCCCAGGCCTTCAGTTGGACTCAGTGTTCATCTACTATAAGATCTGCAAAAGCAGAAAGCTCTTCTCAAAGCCTTGTCACACACTCTCTGTCAATACTGTTTGGACATTTCTAGAAATATAGCGCCAAATGCAGTTTCAACACCAATCAGTACAAAACAGCACAAACTCTGGGATATAAAAATAGGCATTTTCAACTCTACACAATATACAAAATTGCATTGTTAAATAAATGGTAGTGTTTTAAATATCTGTTTTGCTGAAATACAGTAATACATGGTGCATAAAGCGGAAGAACAGACGTGTGTTTCACACAAACATCTTGATAAACTGAGTGCCATTGAAGCCATTAATCACAAGCAGGCTCTCTAAAACGGTGTCCATAAGAAATGATTGTGCATGGCAAAGTGAAGATGTGAATGTAGACCTCTAGGATATGATACAGTTCTTTCCCTTATGTCCTTTCTTCTTTTTGGACTTAGTCCTTTGGCTATATGAGGGAGAGCCCATACCCGCCACAGAGCAGGGCAGGTCCTCCATATAGTAGTGTCTATGGGACCGAGGCTGGGGGATCGGCTGCCCCAGGAAGAAGCCCTCCTCCTCAGAGTCTGATGAAGAAGAGGAGCAGGTGGAACACCAGTCATCCTCTTCATCTCCATACAGTCCAGTGAATCTGCTTGTGACTGGTCCATGTAAACCATATTGGGACATAGTGTTTGGGTGTCCATGTAATCCAACAGCGTTCCCTCTGGGATCTCTGTTAAAACTCTTTGATGCCCTCTCCTTTGGCAGTAGGTTCAGAGCATTATCAGAGCGAGACTTGCGACTGCGGCGCCTCCTGTGGTGATGGTGGTGTCCTGCGCGAGGGTCCTGTCCCTGCTCCTCAAAGTGAAACGCCCTGCGGCGAGTCCGTTCACTCATGGGGGGCTGGCGCAGGGGCAGCTCATACTGACTGTTGTCCACCACATCATCGGAGAACTTAACCTGCTGAGGTTTGGCCTGTGAGCGAGCCCTCCTCAGAGCAGGGATGTTAGATTTGGGCCTGCTATCAGGTAAAGGCACTTCCTGTACTTTTGGGCTGACAGTGGCTTCCTGTTCAGACACAAGGCTCTTAAGAGAATTTGCACTTCTGTGCAACATGGAAGAGTTTAGTGTCCCCATATTACTGTTCTTTTCACAGTCCTCTGTCTGGAGGTCAGGAAATCCTTGCAAAGAAAATGCCAGTCCTCTGTCTTTGCTGTCGCCATCCACTGAGGCACCTAGGTGGAAAGAAATAACATTTCTTAACTAAGTAACTAGTAACGTCTTCACTAATTTCTTAAATAAGTACACATAGTAAATAAAGCAAATATCTGGATGCAATCGACTGAGTTTCTTACCTGTAATATTGGACAGAGCCAGTGAGTCCATGGAGTCTCGGACATTGGGCTCCATCTTTTTGAACTGATCTGAAATGCACTCCAAAGAGCCGTTGTACCACTGATTGTCCTCTCCAGCTCCATGGTCCAACTCTAGTTCCTGGATCTTTCGGCTGCTGGCAGGACCAGGGTGGCTCCCATAGGCCGAGTCCCCCAGACCGTCCTGGGACTGGGCCCAGTACCTGTCCGCCTGGTATTTCTTACTGGCTAGACCTCCTCTCACTTGTGCCCCACTGCCCTGTCCTGCTTTAGCACAGTCCTGCTCCAACTGGGCCTCTGTCTCTGTTGTCCAAAAATCTGTAGGTTTAGAGTCATTGGCTTGCTGCAGTCCATGTTGTCCAAACTTCAGTAGTAGCTGTGTCATATAGTCTTCATGTTCTGCCCATTCTTCCTGATCCTCTGGTGCTTCGGCCTCCTCTCCACGGCCCCTCCAGAAATGCTCATTCGATAAGTTCATATGGGACAGTTTATTGGTTAAAGTGTCCTCGGCATTGGCACTTAATCCAGGGAATTTATAGTTGGCGGAGGGTGAGAAGAGGAGAGACTGGCGGCACTGATCAGCTGACCTACTGCTCTTTCCCATGCGCACGCTCCTCCGGGACTCTCGTGAGCGAGCTGACTGGAAGGCAGAGTCGGAGGAGTCCGAGGCGTGCACATCTTCACCCACGCTACAGGCTTTGGAGCAGTAGATCCGGCCCTGGTGAGGCAGGAAAGGGCAGCCCAGGAGAGAGTTCTTGCACTGGGCACAACTAAAGCAGTTTTCAGTGGCATGCCAGTGGAGTCCATCATAGGTCATCTGAGCATGGTCCACACCTAAAAGAACAATATTATGAGCTTTTCTCTAAAGTAAATACTGTCCAATTATTTTTATCCCATATTTTTATGAAAGGAGGGCAATAAGAAACAAGGGTTTGAAGAGTGGGATGAAATACCAAACTATCTTGAGTACATGCATGTGTGTTGTTTCCCAACTCCTTGGCCAGTGCAATAGATGACCAGTTATTTTGTCTAGTGTTTTTTGGTAACCATGGCAATAGCATGAATAATTGTTTATCTTATTAAAAGCAGCACAGCTTAAGATTCCTTGTGGTGGGCCTGCCACCTGCATGTTTCCATGGACATAGAAAGTAAAACTAAACTTTGCAACATAGTTCAAGCCCCCTCAGAGCAAGAGTGCATGTTTTAATGTTTTTCAAGGTTTCTTTGAGCAATAAAAAATGTTAATAAAGTATCTTTTGGCTGAAATATTACAGGGTGGGGCTTTAAATAATGACTACTAATGTCTTACCTATATGTTCTCCACAGGCCTCACAGTACTCTGCATAGAGAGATTCGAAGCATCCACAACAGTAGGGTCTGCCATCCTTCATGATGTAACGCTGACCTCCCAAAACTGTCTCACATTCAAAACAGGAGAAGTGCTTCATGTGCCAATGACGGCCCTCTGCTTCTGTGCACTCATCAGCAAAGATTATCTGTAGACACAATAATACTCAATACAATATACCTCAACTAATTTCTGTTGTTTTCTACTTCTGGTTCAGACAATCTTACCTCATCACAGGCCGAACAGCGTGGTTTGAGCAGCTCTGCATGGTGCCGTCCACACTGGATCTTTCCCTCGTGGTAGAAGTAGATTAAATCCACCAGAAGCTCGTTGCAGGTGGAACAGGCAAAGCAGGCTGGGTGCCAGAACACCCCAGGGCCCACTCTAGACGCAGACACTGCCACTTCTCCACCATTGATGCTTTCACCACACTAAAACAAACAAATACATAATTAGTTATTAGTTATTATAAGCTTTACTTTTGTCTCTTTAAAAGATACACTAAGCTAGGCCATCACGATAATTACTATATCAACAATATGGTTCACTTAACATACGATTTACTGGGATTATCCTGCTTCGGGGTTATTGTCTCAGTGGTATAAAGTTAAATGGCCCATGTTATGCTACTTTCTGATCTATGTTATAATGTTGTTTTCTCATCAAAAACAGTTGTGTTTTGTTTCATCAACACATATTAAACATACAAACCCTGCATATCTAGGCTGCCTTCTTCTCTAGAAAGAAACACAATTTTCCACTTTATGATGTCATGTTGTAATACAGGGAGTTATCCACTGTTTTTAAACTCCATGCACCTTCACTAGAATCATTTGGATAATTTCAGACCTGGAAATGCTAGTCTGTATTGAACTAAAAGTAAAAGGCAGTAAAAGATAACTTGAAAACTTTCGCTTCATGACATCACAAGGTGGAACAGAGTATTTTGAGCTTTGGAGATGCAGACAGTAATAATAAATGATTGCTCAAATTTGTGTGAATGAAACAAAACCCAACTATGTATGTTTTAGTATGTTTCTGATGAGGTGAACAACATTCTAACATAGCTTAAAGTTCGTGAGAGTCATTTTGTGTAACATAGGCCCTAAAGTAATAGCTTTAAGTAATTCCAATATAATATTTTTCACTATCAATATATTGCACTTCAAAATGTGTTATTGTGACAGGCCTACCCTAAGCACATCTGTACATTTGCATTGTGAACTCAAATGGTTCCAAAAATATACATTCCAGAGGATCTCGGTCTTGATACAAATAGAAAATGCCTTTGATTTGATTCCCACAAAAGGTCCAAACACAGAAGCATTTCATTCAAAACCAAAACCAAGTCATTCAAGGCAACGTTATACCACAACTTCCTCTCTGCCATGCATTTAATGAGGTAAGTAATTAAAGTTTAAATGAGTACTTACATGCTCACAAACACTGTTGAGGAGATTACGAGGCAAAGTTTTCACTGTTCCCCTCCCAAGTGCTTCCTTTTTCCTCTGGACACTGAACATCTGCAGTTCTTTTTTCTCCTCTTCGCTGAGAGACTGACAGTAACGCACCTGGAAAAGCACATGGAATATTTAGGATTCCCAGTCTGTGATGACCAGTTTAGAAAAATTTAATCAATAAGGCCTGTGCAAATAATCAATATTTAATCGAGATTCAGTCATTTCTAATTGTTAATGACAATCTTGGTTGTTTTTAATCAACAAATCTACAGCTGATGTTAAATGGCAATAATTAAAAGTCTGCATTGTTTATGTTTGGGAAATTAATACTGAAAACTATTTGTATTTCTTTTTACATAAGACAAGATGAAATTGAACAAAAATTGAGGAATATGAGGATATGAGGAAGAAATCAATCCAAAAAAGGCTAGAGTTAATTTATTCAGATTAGTACTTATATCAGAAAGAGAAATTATGGTGATACTGGAATGTCAGTAACACTTAATAATAATTGATAATGAGAAAACAGTACGACTATTACTACTATTACTGCTAAATTAACTACTACTGCTAAATTAATACCCTAACCACAACCCCAAAAGTTACTAAGCCTTAATTAATACTCTAACCCTAACTCCTAATGCTAACCCCTTAATTAAATTATTAACTGAATGATTCAAACTTATTAATTAACAATGTGTTCACTATGAATTAAGTCTTTATTAAGTCAAATTACAACATGTTTTTTATAAAGTATAACCAGAATATCTCTATTAAAAACTTTCCAGAATGGAGTCTTACAAAGCTGCTATAACACTGTCCCTGCCCTCTTGACATTATGTCCACAGATCGAGAACCCTCATTTTTACAACAAGCCATTTTGATGTTTCCCGCAATAGTAACTAGAGACGGAGCAGACGTTTACACAAACAGTGCTTGTGTTTGGAGTGAAATCAAGAGAGCGGGCAACAAAAGAGCAGGGAGACAGCCTGTTCCAACTGGTGCCAGTGCGGTGGTGGCATCACATAAAGCCTCTCTCTCTCCCGCTGTGCGCCCCTCGTAAACTAACCACTGCTATGACAGGAATCTGACTGGTGGGGGCTCCAGGCAAACACCATAAACTCATCAAGTCAAGAGTCGCATTGTGCCCACATTACACGCCTACAAGATTGCTGAACAAAAATCCCCTGATGTGATGCTGCCACAGATGCCAAGTGCTAACTGTGGTAGATATGAATTCATAACGCTCTCACCTCATTATCGTGCGGTGGCAGCTGATATAGGAGCTGCTTGATTCGGAATTTTTCACCAGGACTGTTCACATAAGGAACCTTCTCTTCAGGAAGACAGGAGAAAAAGATCTGAACCTGCAACAAAACAAAAGTGAAATCAGGGGAAAAATTCTAAAAAGTTATCCATTAGCATCCATTAGGATTAACTGATATTTATGATTTTGTAAAGATGCAATGCAAGAAAAAGCTATTAAAAAAAAGCAAGGATATAATTCTGTAGACTGTGGTCCAGAGAAAGAAAATTATCTGATGAAGGCTTTTAGTTGAAAAAAATGAAAAAAATGTACACCTGCTACCTGAGTGAGCTATGCTATTCTCAGTGTTTGAGGAATAACATAAAGTAATATAAAGAGACACTAGGCATTCATACTAAAGTTTTATTTAAAAATAAAAAAGGTATAAAAATGTATTGTCCAAAAGGGTTTTGTAGGTAGTGCCTAAATGTTACTAGTCAGGCTGGCACCACCTAGTGCCTCCACTCAATTTAATTTCTTTCCAGCGACTAGGTCAGGAATCAGAATACACTAGATGGATTGCAAGAACCATGCAAGTGTGAGTCTGGGCACCAACCAATCAGAAAAGAGCCATACATTCTGTGTTGGCAACGATTCTAGAGCTCAAAGATTTAACGCTGGAATAAAGAGAATGTTTGGCGAGTTTTATCAAGGGGAAAGACACTATTGCCCTTTTTCCTATGGGATTTGGGAAAAGCTATATATATCAGTTAGTCCTGGTCATGTCATGATCAAATAGCATTGATTGGTTAAATAAAAAAAAAAGTACCTGCCTACCATCAAGTGAACAAATCCTAATGCTGCAAGGTCAAACGGTTTCCACAAAGTGAAACCGACTGATGAATCAGGCTACAATGTTAAATAGAAATCAACTGATCATTTCAAACCACTATTTAAGAACACACTTACCAGACAAAACCAAAAGTTAAATTGTGTTGACATTTTGGGACAACAGAAAACTGTGGAATCGCAGGTTGGATGCAAAAGCTTCATGTCCAATAGTGAACTTAGTGAGCCACTTTATGCTTTCTTCATTTTATGTGATGATAGTTTAAAGCAGAGCTGAGTAGGCCCAATTAGTTTCTTTCTAGTCATAAGTCTATCTCTATAGGAACAGGACAAAGCAGCGTGTCCCCATGGCACTTTGACCCCTAGGGCTGGCCAATGAAAACTCAAACTTTATGAGGAGGGACCATTACAGCTGCAGAGATAAAAAAGGTAGTATGTGCTTGTCTTGTAGGTTTCAGGCTAACTTCCTGCAACACAGGTCGTCTAAAAGGGAGGGGCTAGCGCAATTTAGCCTGACAATCATCATCAAGAGCTAGCCTTGGTCATAAATTATGCACACTTCCATACCATAGTTACCTCCCCAGGGGCAAGAGGGGCAGTCAACTTGCACCATGGCCCTGTGTGTTTTTCACTGTAATAATGGAGCCATAATGCTTAGCCAATTCAAGGCAATAGCTGCAGTAAAGGCATTACAGTTAACGCAGGCATCTAGCAAACAAAAGCATGCTTAGCCCTAGCCTTTAGCATACCTCCCACCCCCTTCATTGCATCCATGTGTGCTCTTTAACAAAGGAAACAGTCCAAACTTGTGCAAAAGCAGTGGCTAAATTAGGAGCAGTGCCACATCACACTAGTTGCCCCAAAGTCATGACTGAGGGGTTGTTAGAAAGCCTTGATTGCAGACCTTCCCAAGATGGCCGCTGTGACCCATCAAAGTTCCCTTTTCTAACAGATCCCTGATAATGACAAACAGACTTGCCAGGCCGCAGTTGGTAAATAAAATCACACACATCCTGTCTTTAAGTGGCTGCCTGCTGGAGCTACACAGGCCTGGAGAGTTTTGCAGAAATTCTCTTTGAATGCTCAGAGTCATTGTGTAAATGCTTCATTTGGTGGTAACTGTGATCTTCTGACACAAAAACTATATATATGCTTTGCCTTTTCCATTTGTTTGCACATGGGTCAATGGTGTTTACTTAATGTAAGTTTTAGTGCTTAGATTGAAAGAAAATGTATTCCAACAAGGCCAGTGTTTCTGAAACTGTGGTATGGGTACCAGTAGTCATGTACAGAGGCTCTTTCTGGCGGTATGCAAGGTTCTGTACTGGGTTGGTGTTTATTTAAATGACAGTAAACATATTCATTCCTTTCAGTTTGTTAGAACTGCTACTACCAGTTTAGACTTTGTTAAGCCCTACTTTTGACTTGGAATAGTCTTGTTATAGGCCTAGACTAGATTTGGTGGTACTTGGAAAGTCAAATATTTTTTTAGGTGGTACTTTGTGTGAAAAGTTCGAGAACATTTGTTTTAGAACACTAGAGGGCACTGCATTTTTTCAAAGCAAGATAGGTGGAGTGCATAATATATAAATAAAAAGAGGTATTTGTGAATATTACAGGTCATTTAAATATAGTGACATCAAAAACAGAGGGTCCAAATAGCAATTAGAGCTCCCAGATGTGTTATACTACTATTACTCAAATTGTGCCTTGTGCTTACCTGCTCAGGCCTGAGTCCAGGTGGGACCCATGCATACTCCTCCAGAGCACAACCAGAGTCGTCGTCAGATGTGGAGCTGCGTTGGAAGCCGAAGCTGAGTTTACTGACTTTGTGCTCCATGATGTAGTCCTGCTGACGAGCGCCGCCCTGTAGGCCGACTGAGGGTACTGCACTGCTCAGGTTCATGGCACTCCCCACTCACTAGACACACACAAGAAGACAGAATTTAATTGGTACTATTAATTCTAGACACAAGTTTATCACACAAATATAATCCACTAAAACCTAGATGCAGAACCAAGACAGTGTTAAACTTTATCTGAAATAAACTTGGCTTACATTAGGATATGACCAGTGATTAATGGGAAAACTACTTATTTTCTTCTGCTGTGATCAAACTTTGTGTTGCAACACTGAACATTTCCAATTGTGGTACAAATAATTATTCTTATGAACAAAGTTTGCTTTCTGAAAATTTGTTTGTGTGTGTTTCTGTAAAATAGACAGAGGTCTCCATACCACAGTTAATAACCTTTGCAGTAATTCTATAGATGACGTCTACCCCAAAAAGAACTATAGCTGCTTCTCTGGCTGGCATTTTAGCATGTGCCCTCCTTGTGTGGTTTTCGTGGCTAGAGAGATCATTAGGAAATTCCCTACAGCTTCGCGAGGTGACGTCCGTTCTCATTATGGGGACAATAACAAGCAGTTAGCTATTCATAAATGCATGACTGTAAATGCAGAATTACTTGTATAAACAGCCAGTCTTGGGAAGCAACTGCTCAGAGCCAACATTCCTATGCCGTGGTGTAATTTGGTTTACCATCATCTCATAAGGAGGAATAATACCTCACATTAGCTGCTTCAAAGTTGGTGCTTATCTGTAAAACTTCTTGTGAGTAATGATTCTAGCTCATACTTCTTGAGAAGGGAGGTTGTCTTGTATGATGAGATCCAGGACTGAATAAACATGGGACAGGCCCAAAGCCATATGGGGACTGTCCACAATGTCCCTTTTTCTTTGGAGGGGTTATTTTTGAACCTGCTGGACTGACTGTCTCACTGTCCTTTCATCTTTTACATGTCCAAGCACCATCAAACAGGTGAAGCAGGGACAGCAGATAGAGACAGGGATAAATGATGCTCAGTTGACAGTTTAAAAGAAAGAGATTAGATCAAAAAGGGGGCTTTGAATGTAGTGTTGGCACAAGTGTCACCAACTGATTCCAGGGTGCTATGGTAAGTGGTTGAATAAATGGTATAGTGATAAATAACCGGCAATTTAAGCAAGTGTTAATTTGAATGTAATAAAGGCATTGAAAACAAGTGGACAACAGCTGTGTGTGCATAGCTGGGGCGTATCTATGACCAAGATTATCTCCACTGATAAAAAAAACATGTACTAGAGGTGGGAGTTACATGGGTGGTCTAAAAATGACAACGATTCTGTAACTGCCTGGAGGGATTTTTACATCATAATTTCTGTTCATGCACTCCTATTGGTTTGCCATATTCATGCTCAAGTGAGAAGTTTCAGAAGATGTGGATAGACTTTTAAATTTTACTTTGATTTATTCAGGATACAAGTTCTTATAGTAGTAGAAGTGGTAGTAGTAGTAGTTGCAGTAGTAGTAGTAGTAATAGTTGTAGTAGTAGTAGTAGTAGTAGATGGATGAAACCGCTGCAACCAATTTCACCAAGGGAACAAATAAAAAGTAGCCTTTGTTAGTAGTAGGACTTACTTCTCAATGCCTAAACCTTCTAACCATGATCAAACAGGAGCTTTAACCAGTGTCCAGTCCCATACCCTACTAACCCCCCACCCCCTGCCCCCTTATGCCTCTACCCCCTATGGCCAGTGAGGGCACACAAGGCCACAGGGAGACAGCTGAGAAAACCAGACGCTCTTGGGTGTGTGCTCTTTGAAAAGCGCACGCAGCCGACATGAGAAAGAAAGAGCCATCCAAATCTGCTCTCTCTCTCTCTCTGTCCATGATATATGTGCCGACTGCCCCGGGAGCGTGCAGCCCTGTGCGTATTTAAAGAAGTAATGTACATATTTACACTGAAGCCTATGTGGTCAAACCTGGGAGGCCTTGTAAACTATAGCTTCATCTTGTAGTCAGTGCATAAGACATACAGGCATTTTAAGATAGTTTAGCATCAAATACATTATTAGACACAGATTTCTTTCCAAAATTATGAGAGCAACACCCACAAAAAGAAGATTAGTACACTCTTTATAATGAGATGTAAAGCTTTAATGGTGGTTTTCAGGTTTTAGAATGTGATGATGTTATATTGCCAGAAAGAGAGTTTTCTTTGAATGATTACTGTATTTTTATATAAGAAATATTAAAACTAAAAATGGACAAATGTTGAGCTTAATTAAACTTAATTTGTGTTAGTGAGTAGACCCTGGAATACTGCAGTTTTCAATGTTCATTTATAACTTTACCATTGTTATTTTATTATTTCATGGTGTCATTTTTGTTACTACAAGTATGGGCTCATAATATGGCCCATTACTGTTGCTGAAAATGATCCTTTTGTGAAAGCCTGCACCATTTATCTTGCCTTACACGTTAGGATGTCTAGTGTTATCTCGACATACATTAAAGCTCTCTAGCCAAGATAATCTCCGCTGTGGCCTCTCAAAGCAGAGGCGAGGAATCAGACACTATCTTGTTCTGTTCACTTCTATTGACTTGCAAATGAGACCAAAATAACCTGCAAAAATGTGGCCTTGTTTGAGAGTGGGTTTCACATGGGAGATGGCTAACTATAGACAGGTCTAGTCAGGAGCAAGAAGACTTTTTCATGATTCCTGCCAAAGATTTGGTCATGCTAGGTTGAGTCACAAAGCAGCCTACTCAATGACCTCTTGTATTAAGTCGCCTCGCTTTTAATTTCAACTTTCCCATTTGACCCCCTTTTAAGTTGCAGGAACCATTGAACATTCGGTCCCACAACTTTTTACAGTTTTCCTCTAACAAGGCTAGTATAGTTTGTAAGGTTATTTTGGAGGCCCCTTGGCTTGTCCCCTACTGGCCTTGCCCTCCTCCCACACTATACCAAGACCCCTGTAGTCCTGAATCTTTAACAGCCCATGGTCCCTTTGTATAGAACACTTGTTAACATGGCTTGGGGAGTAAGCCTTGCATCTGACTGATCTACCCCAGTGAGGGCTATAGGTGTGTGTGAGGGGGAGGGGGAGCACAGTGAAGCATGTATGAAGATGTTAATGAGGCCGGTTTGACTAGTGCATATGTTGTGTATGCTAGGTGATTGAGCGATTTAGTCATTTCAAAACAACGAATTAACTTTGCTTTGAACAAGAGTAGCGCTATTTTGGTTCCACTAATTCTAAATGAAAGTGAATTAATGCTGACATCTAGTTTTTGCATGTATTTCAATGCATATTTCGAAAGAAAAACAGATGCAACAGTATGTTTTGCACTTAACTTCCACCAATATTACTACTATTACTTTATGGCTACCCACAATTATTGGTGGTTTCTAATGATATCATGCTCCCAGATGGAGAATGAGCCAGTTTCCTTATTGACACCATTGTATTTTGTTGACTTAAAATACCAAAAATTGTTATTAGTGACTAGACACTGGAACTAGCCACCAGCATTTTAGATTTTTGTTATGGTGTCATGAGAAACCTAGCTATTCTGCTAAATTATAAGAAATAACTTTGTGTATTTGTTTTTTCAGTAAAGCTTTACATGTCCTAAGTAAGTAAAACACACAGCTTTTAAACTCTCTTGCTAAACTTTCCCATGAAGTGAGTCATTAGAGCCTTGGATTAACAGGCCTTGGGAGCGCGCAGGGGAAAGCAAGCAGCCGTGAGCTCAATTACTGTCTGTGTTCCAGAGGGAAGTGGACATATACAGAGCCCTACACTAGTCCTCTGTCAGCCTCGACCGGACTGACATGTTTAACTTGGCTCACACTAACTCAGCAACACAGTCTGGACTCTGCTGCTGGAGGAAAACAAAACTTGGGTTCAGGGGGCAGGGGCTGGCCAGTTAATCGAATCTGAATCGAGATCGAAATTTGGTTATCGTTAAAAATCCAGTGATAGTACTTTGAATCGAGAAGTCCATTCCTCTGTCTTCTGGAGCACTTATATATATGGTTATATGTTAAAGTATTTTTTGTTTTATTTTTGAGAAAAACTAAATAAAATTGAACTGAAAATCACATCTGATCATAGCAAGGTTTTTTCTTTTACCATATCACCCAGTAGTAGCTCAGAAAGACTTTTGCTGAGATATTTAAATCCTTACAGTAATACTAGCCTGTGATACACTTAAATAAATGCAACAGTGAAGGTAAAAGTCTGTTTTTGTTGACTTGGCAATGATAAGAAGTTAACAGCTGGTCTATTAAGTTTTTTTTCAAAAGCCAAATGGGAGTGGCATTTTCACTAGAGAGGTTATCATTAAGATACAACACATTTGTTCTGTCAAGTCAAAAATATTTAGCATATTTATCAATGACAACTAATAATTTCAGCTGTAGAAACAAAACTCCATCTTACCTTAATTGCCAATCTTAAAGCCAGTATATCCAATTTTTTTCCTCCATGGCAGTGTACGATCTTTACCAATCTATGTCCAGAATTTCACTATCTGTACAAGCTGTATACTAGCTGCATCCATATCAAAGCTTCCCACAAACTTAAGAAGTCTCTGTGTTGAGGGCTAGTGTAAGTTTGAATGTATGTATGAAGTAGCTCAACCAGATGGTCACTCCAGCCTCCCACTCCTCCTTACCCATACATCCAAGAGCCTGCCCCTTTACAACTGCACAGCCAATCACTTCATAGTCCTGCAAACTGAGGCGTCTCCCCGAATTTTAGCACATGGTTCCCAATGAGAACCTCCAGCAGAGAGTTGACTTAACAGGATCTGTGTTTTAAAGTCATTCAGGCAGGCCTACATCTATTACTCATAATTTACTGCAGTCAGCGGTACAGCTTTGGTTAAGTCAGTGGTTTGTGTCTTGTGGGTTTACACTGGGATATTTCTTCACTAACTACATTGGAATACAGTGGAAAAGATACTCTATTTAACGCAGCACAAATCAGCTTATTATTACAGTCCTGGCTTTTTCATTCGACCATTTCTCACTGAATGTGCCAGCAAAAATTAGGCATGAGTTATAGCATGCCTTGTGTCATTTAC